TGCTTAGCTGCGCAAGAGCACCAAGCCAGCCTTCCTCAGATGCAGGCTCCCGTGCTGGAGGGTCGAACGTTCCCGCCTGCACATGTCCAAGGTCGGAGTGGCAAGTGCCCGACACCGTCGATGCCCAAAAGCAGAAGGTCATGTGTGTGTCATCAGAACTTGGCATAGGGCCCGATGTGCAAACACTGCCGCATCCATTTAGAGTTGGGGGTTGCTTCGGGCTCCTGCGATGGAATTGGGGATGAGAGAGTGGCTTTGCGGGTATGGAACTTGGAATCGTCCAACCAATGCTTCAAGTCGGCTTGCAAACCCAGTAGCGCTGTGGCTGCGCTTCCCGCTTCCAGCGTTTTCTGTGTGTGTGGGCGTGTCTTTTTTGACGTCTGCAATTTCATCAGTCAGTCAGGCTTATCCCAACAAGTCTCAGAAGCAAGGCCTCTTCGAGGCCGACTTTCTTAAAATCAGTGCAAATGATGGAAGCGCAAGCAGGGAGGGCATCCACGCACATTTCTGCGTGGCAGTCTCATCACCCTTGGCCTGCGCAAAAAAAAAGCTCTAGAAAGGCCTCTTCGCCTCTTCGAGGACTTTCTTAGATCAGAACAAAGGACGGAAGCACCAGCGAAGCGGGCGCCATCACTTATTTGTCCTCCGGCACTTTCGCCAGCTTCTGCCTGAAAAACAAATCTCAAGCAAGGCCTCTTCGAGGCCGGCTTTCACAATCATTGCAATTTGTCCAAGCAGCGCCTCGACGCATTAGAAACATTCTTGCACGTAGCCCTGCTCCGCATTTGGCTTCTCCTCGGCAAGCTCTTCGACCTCTTCAAACTCAAAGTCAACGCCACGCAAGTCGTGGCCCGGAGAGAGGAGCCTACGATCCTCGATGTCGCCCAAACGGTGGCAAATCAGGCTCACTTGCTTGTGCACGATGTCCATCCTGTCGGTTTTGGACTTTTTCTGGCCCCCACATAGACTCGAAGACAATTTTAAAAGGGTCCTGAAAAGGAGACTTATCAGTTGATTGTTTGGTTTTAAACCGATTGATTTTCAGAGAAAAACAAAAAAACAACCCTTATCCTGGCAGTGGGTGTCAAAGGAAGTGCAATGATCTTCAGCAAGTTCCGAAATGCCGCAACAGCCTTCTCTCCTTGGATGTCGCCCATGCTAGTGAGCTCCTTGCTAGATGGGAACTGGCAGGTGCCATCGTTGATCGGCACCACCAGGACCTGCTCCTGCAGAAGGACTACGCAGTCCGCAAAGGTCGCATCCAGAAACGCGCCTTTGCTCAGGATCACCAGCGCGTGGCTGGACAGCTTGGCCTGCTGGATCTCCGAGGGAAACCGCACGAAGTGCACAAGCTGCTGCAGCTGCGACTGCACCAGCATCTGCAGCACCAAGCTGGCTGAGATCACTTCTGGCTCTTGGCAGCTGCAAATCAAGATCCTAGCATCCGAGACATCAGTGAAGAGCTTGGATGAGAACAAGCCGCCTGACAATCTAACCGCAATCTTCGTGAGGTCACGAGCGTTGGTCCACTTGGGTTGCAAGGGTTCTGCAAGCTTCAGAATCATTGCCTGCTGGTTGGTCAGCGTGTCCTTCCGATTCACAGTGCAAGGAGCGAAGGATCTGATGTGACGCAGCGCTTCCTTCACGTAATCCATTCTCAAGCCGTAGCTGCTCAGGCTATCCTGCTGCTCCTCGCTCCAGCTGGACTCGATGTGGTTTAGGCCATCCTCGCAGGGAAAGGCAAAGTTGTCGCAATAGAGAGGCAGCACCAGCACCTTGCTCCTGTAGGCTGTGGTCATCTCCGCCACGCACCACACGCGCTGCAGGGTTTCTGGGGTAAGCACCGCCACCAGCGTCCTGGTGCGAAAGCGGATGGTGTCGAAGATGGTGGTCACATCCTCCAAGCAGTCCGAATCCAGAAAGATGTTGCAATTGGTGTGGCTGCTCAAGGTGAGCTTCATCAGCCGGCAGAATGCACCAGCGCCGGATTTGTGATGGCAGAGAAACATGTCGAATTGTTGAGCCCCTTGCAGCGAAAGAGCGAGGGAGCACATGGCCGCAAAGAAGGTGCAAGTGGGCAAAGCTACGAAGCAGGCGGAAATGAGGATAGACAGCAGGCGGGTTGCGTCTTCATCGTCGATGATGAGCAAGGGAGAAACCAAGTTCAGCAGCAAAAGCGTGCCAGCTGATAGGGCGAGGTCGTTGTAGTTAGCCATCTTGAAGCGCCACGGCCAGAGAAGGCACAGCGAGGCCTGCCTCTGTGTGTCTGTGTACATCAACCCCGCTCATGGACTGCATTTTAAGAGCGTCCAGCCCGCCTTTAATACATTTGGGTCTATCTCCAACTAAGACCTGCGCACCAAACATGTTTTACAAACCACCCTTTTGCTCAGGACCCGCCCCGCCCCCGGCCCATACATTTGACAAAGCAGATCCTGCCTCAACCAGAGCACCACAGCCATCATTCCAACCTGCAAAGCCGGAGCAGAAACCATCATGATAGGAATCAGGGCGGTGAAGAGGTTGAGAATGCACAAGAGGAGGCCAAAGTAGAATCTCTGCGGAACAAAGCGAACAAATAAGAAAGACCAAGTATCAAAGCTTTGCAAACCGGCCGGAGACTTCAACCAAATGGGGTACTGCCATGTACAAAAGGCCACGGCGGCAAGAGTGGCAGAGGGGAAAACCAGCACTCCAGCAATCGACATGGCCACCATGACAGCATGTTCGCTCGTCCAACAGGTCACGTCTGGCCGTGCACGCACCGTGGCCAAGCCGTTGGGGTTCCCCCGGCACTGGAGCGGCTGGAGGATGATCAGCGTCAGGGAAGTCAGCAATGCCACCAGGAGCATGCCATGGAGTGCAATGTACTCGCTCACGGAAGGCGACGGCATCCGGAAAATCCTTCGGAACAAAGGCCAAAGGAGAATAGTCGCCACAAAGAAGACTGGGTAGATCAGCAGCTGGGCTCCGTACTCCATGACCGCGGATTCTGAGCTGAGGAAGCAGGAGAGGTGCAGCCGGTCGATGTCGAGGGAGAAGACTGAGAGAAGCTCCAAGAGCGTCTTTGCGGGGTCTGTGAGGTCCAAGGAGAATTGGGCGATGGCCTCCACGGACTGCATGCAAACAACCACCTGGCCGAACATGACGCCAAGCACAGCCACTGTGAGCGCAGCTTTTCGAAAGTTCGTGCCAATCCACTTCACAGCCTTCAGCCCAGCCCCAATCATGGCCAGCAGCAGAAGCCAAGTTGCAACTTCCCAGGGCTTGCACTCAACGCAGCTCCCGTCAGAACTCGACTGCGTCCCCGCTTTGCAACTGCTGCAGCCCCGCCGTACACGGCCCAGCACGCAACTCCCTGGCGGCCCCTCGGGACAGTGATGGTGCTGCTTACAGAGGAACACTGAGAAGCTGCCATCATGAAGCTCCGCGTACATTCCTGCCAGCTGCTTGGGAGGAGTCCGGCCACCAGTGCACTCGAGCCCCTTGGGGCACACCCGGCACGTGTCGCCGTCCAGGTACAAACCCGGAGAGCACTCGCAATCTTCGCTTCGTGAAGCGCTGCGGATCAGAGTGGTGGTCCCCGTCGCACACTGGACACATGAGGACTTGCCGAACTTGTCTTGAAATGTGCCCTGCGGGCACACTTCGCACACAACGGCGCCATCCCCCGCGGAGAAGGTTCCTGGCGGACACTGCGTGCACTCACGGCTGCCTACAGAGGGTTGGCTGAACCCCGGCGAGCAGGGCCGGCACTCTGCGGTGCTGCCAAGCACATCCCAGATGCCAGAAGAGTGCGTGCCTGGCAAACACGTGCGACAGACCGACTCGTTTGAGCGGTTGCGTTGGAAAGTCTGGGTGGAGAGGTCGAAGAGCCCCTGGCCGTAAAAGCAGCTGGACTTTCTTGGGATCCAGCTGTGCCACCTGTCCTGGTTGCGCAGCCAAGTGCAGGCCACCTCCTCAGGAGTGCGCCTCTGCTGCTGGACCTTCAGCTGGAACTCCTCAGCCTCCTCCACAGTCCACCAAGACCTCTGCAGCATTTCCCGAACATCAGGAAGCCAGCGCTCCAGGTCCCGCGTGACCAGCTTGCTATATGGCCAGGCTGGGTCTTCGTGCGTCCTGAAGCCTTGCTCGAACAGCTCTTGGTTGAACGCGGGAAACTGCAGGAAGACCGGCTTCAAGTTCAAGTTGTCTGCTGTTGGACTCTGGCCGTGCCAGATCACAGGCTCATCGCCCAACCTTGACATGAAGTTCAGGTTCTTGGCAATGGCTATGGCCCAAGGCAAGCGCCACGCAGCGGCCTTCTGCATGTACTCCAGGAACACATTGGGCCTCCGCCGAATCAGCACAGGGATGCACGTCTCCGGGCTGCTGCGGCAAGCTGGCGCGAGCCACCAGTGGCCCTCAGAGCATGTGGGAAGCTGCATTTGTTCACCCTGCGTGATGCCATCCATGTCCCCGGAGATCTCAACGTACTTCTCAACCCAGTTGGGGATCCGAATTGAAACGTAAACCCAAAGATCTTTTTCCAACTTACTGCACTCATACAGCTCATCCTTAGTGACCTCGGAGATGTTCGCAAAGAACTTCTTGGGGGTGGAAAAGGACTGGTTTGCAGAATAGGTCCGGTAAAAGTCCAGGGAGATTGCGTCTTCCTGCCAAGCCTGCGTGAAGACTCCTTGAGCTATCTGCGGGCCTCCAATCCTCATGACGCCAAGATGTCCCAAGTCCTCAATGAAACCGCCCAGCTTACTGGCTTGAAGTTCATGGTAGAAATTGAGCTCGTCCATGCGGCCTTCTACGAGATGCGCCCCAATGGAGACATGGAGCTGGTTAGGATGACTGCCGCATTGGGTGAAGTTCTCAGGTGCAGGTCCGGTGAGGTTCTCGGTGCAGCCAGCAAGCGCTAAGAATGTCCGGTTGTGGCGGTTTGGGATAGGATGCGGTTCGACATGCACCTCTGTATTAATGCCAAGCAGCTCCTCCACAATAATCTTGAGGACATATGTTGCCACATCTTCGGCAAACCCAGCCCCAATGTCCCAGAATTTCAGAGGGCTACTCCCACTGTCGGTGATCATTGGCGCGCGCTGGTTCTGAGGAATGGCATCTGCCAGACAATCAACAGCCGCCCCGGTGGAAAATACGCAAAGGCACACAAGACGCTGTAGTCCATGGCTCCGTTTGCTTCGCATTGCAGGTGTTTGATGTGTGGTCATGGCTCCCGATGGCTTTGTGTGTGTGTGGGTTTGTACATGAAAAGGCTACATCCTGGCTGGCGAGGCACGGGGTGTCCACGCTTGATCAAGTCATGCTGCAAGAAACCTGGCAATGCCCCAAAGCTCGCTTCCAAGTGGAAAGGTCCTGGCAAATGGGTATGCGTCAAAGTAGGGGGACCCCCAACAAATTCGACTTGCTTCTGGCTTAGACTAACCCCAAGTTTACCTCAAAAACCATCACGTACACACACACACATAGACACACTCGCGTGCACACACAGACACACATAGCTCAAGAAAAATACCAGCTCGGAGTGCCTAACTGCTGAAACCCTGCGCGGCATTCTTGTCACTTCAGTCGCTTAAGCCCTCCCCGCCAAGAGGGGATGCAAAATGACCTCTCGGTTGCAGATCTTCTATCAGTAGCACTGATACATGGAACGCACGCTCTGTCTACCTTCCACAGAAGTGGAAGGTTTGAACAAATCGAGCTTGGGGTGCTCAATATCCATTGAACCAGGCTGGGACAACGCCCACCGTGAATCCATGTTCATCTGAATTCGATCCACTGGGCTCCAATCAACCTGGGTGCGTTCGACACCCGAAAGCATCATGAAGGGCGCTTTGGAAAGGACGGCTGCCTGCTACACAGCTGACTTTCGCAGCGTGACTGACACAGCTTGACTGACGCAGCCCAGCTTACGCTGCGTGACTTACTCAAACTAACTTACGCAGTCTGACTTACGCAGCGTGACTTATTCAAACTGACTTACGCAGCCTGACTTACACAGCCTGACTTCCACAGCCTATCTTACGCAGCGTGACTTACTCAAACTGACTTACGCAGCCTGACTTACACAGCCTCACTTACGCAGCCTAGCTCACGCAGCCGAAGCTCGCAGCCTTTAACTCTATCTTCTTTCTTAGCCGGGGGTGGGTCTGGCGGGCGCTGGGGGGACGAACCCTCTGCGGGCATCGTGCGTGTCGGAGCGCTCTCGCTGTGGCGCCGTCGTGCGAATTTCAAAGCTCGCCAACGAACTTTCTGCGGAGATTGCGCGTCGAATCGCTCTCGCTCTGGCACAGTGCGAATTTCAAATCTCACCGACAAACCATCTGCGGCGATTGTGCGTGTCAAATCGCTCTCGCTGCGGCGCCGTGCGAACTTCAAAGCTCGCCGACCGACCCTCAGCGGAGATTGTGCGTATCAAATCGCTCTCGCTGCGGGGCCGTGCGAATTTCAAAGCTCGCCGACAAACCTGCGGAGATTGTGCGTGTCGAATCGCTCTCGCTGTGGCGCCGTGCGAACTTCAAAGCTCGCCGACAAACCTGCGGAGATTGTGCGTGTCGAATCGCTCTCGCTGTGGCGTTGTGTGAACCTCAAAGCTCGCCGAAGAACCCTCTGCGGAGATTGTGCGTGTCGAATCGCTCTCGCAGTGGCGCCGTGCGAATTTTCGACTTCGACGACGAACCCTTTGCGGAGATTGCACGTGTCGGGTCGCTCTCGCTGTGGTTTTCTCCAAATTTAAGTAAAAAAGTAGCACACGAAGCACGCTCCCGCAGCTCCGGCCTGAGAATCGCAAGTTTCAAGTAGAAAAGTGGAACGCGAACTACGCTCCAGCAGCTCAGCTCGGCCTGAGAATCGCAAGTTTTAAGTATAGAAAGTAGTAAGCGAAGTGCGCTCCCGCAACTCCGGCCTGAGAATTGCACAGTTTAAGCAGAACAGTAGTACGCGAAGCACACTCCCTCAGCTCCGGCTTGCAAACAAAGGAGGGAAAGAGACAGAAAGAGAAAGAGAAAGAAAAGGAGAAAGAGAAAGATAAAAGAGAGAGAGAGAGAGAGAAAGTGTAAGAAACAGAGAAAGAGAAGGATAAAGAGAAAGAAAAAGAGAAAGAGAAACAGAAAGAGATAGAGAGAGAAAAAAAAACGAAGGATAAAGAGAAAGAAATAGAGAAAGATAACTAGAAAAAGAGAGAGAGAGAGAAGGAAAAAAAAGAGAAAAAGACGGAGAAATGGAAAGAGAGAAAGGGAAAGATAAAGAGAAAGAAAAAGGAGAAGGAGAAAGACAAAACGAAAGAAAAAAGAGAGAGAAAAAGAAAGAAAAAGAGAAGAAAAGGATAAAGAGAAAGAAAAAGAGAAAGAGAACTAGAAAGAGAGAGACAGAGAAAGAGAAAGAGAAAGAAAAGGAGAAAGAGAAAGAAAAGGAGAAAGATAACTAGAAAGAGAGAGACAGAGAAAGAGAAAGAGAAAGAAAAGGAGAAAGAGAAAGAAAAGGAGAAAGAGAAAGATAAAGAGAAAAAGAAAAAAAGAGAGAAAAAGAAAGAAAAAGAGAAGAGAAGGATAAAGAGAAAGAAAAAGAGAAAGAGAACTGGAAAGAGAGAGACAGAGAAAGAGAGAGACAAGGAAAAGGAGAAAGAGAAAGAAAAGGAGAAAGAGAAAGAGAAAGAGACAGAGAAAGAAAAGAGAGATAGAGAGAGAGAAAAAGTAAGAAACAGAGAAAGAGAAGGAGAAAGAGAAAGAAAAAGAGAAAGAGAACTAGAAAGAGAGAGAGAGAGAGAGCGAAAGAGAGAGAGAGAGAGAGAAGAACAGAGCTGGAAAGAGACAGAGACAAAGAAATAAAGATAAAGAGAGAGAGAGAAAGAAAGAAAGAAAGATAAAGAGAGAGAGAAAGAAAGAAAGAAAGAAAGAAAGAAAGAAAGAAAGAAAGAAAGAAAGACAGAAAGAAAGACAGAAAGAAAGAAAGAAAGATTGAAAGAAAGACAGAAAGATTGAAAGAAAGACAGAGAGAGGGAGAGAAAGAGAGAAAGAAAGAAAGACAGAGAGAGGGAGAGAAAGAGAGCAAGAGAAAGATAAAGAAAGATAAAAAGAAAGGTAAAGAGAAAAGAAAAAAGAAAGAGAAAGAGAAAAATAAAGATAAAGAGAAAGAGAAGGATAAATATAAAGAGAAAGAGAAGGATAAAGAGAAAGAGAAAGAGACAGAGAAAAAGAAAGAGACAGAGAAAAAGAAAGAGACAGAGGGAGGGAGAGAGAGAAAAAGAAAGAGAAAGAGAGAGAGAGAGACATAAATTATATAACATGTTGCTTTTGTCAAGCGAGGGCGAAGCGATTGTACAGCGGCGCGCGCGGAGCTCAGTGTTGAATGCGTGGGCTTCATTGCGCAGTTTCACGTTCGCCGCTTAGCATTGCACATGGATCATGAGGCAATGCTGCAACGCGATTGCTGCTTGCTAGAAATGGCTTGCTTAGACGTTTGTTTGGCATTTGTAAGAGTAGGTTTAATAATTTCAGTTGTCGAGTAGAGTAGTGCCTGGATACGTGGCGCGACGCAGTGTACACAAGCAACATCACACCTATGTACATCACAACATTCTTGCATCACCTTTGTCACACACGCAACCGGTTCCCCTTGGCTGTCCCCCAACCTGCATCTACCCAGGTTTTGGTGGTGGCTCATGTGACACGAGTGTTCAAAACCAACCTCTCTGTGAACACAATCAGCTCACTGCAGGGGGTGCCTGACACCACACAAGAGGAAGCATTGACACCTCCTGCTGCAAAGTTGCCAAGCCTTGGAGCAAACGTGAAATTGTGGGATCAGTTGCGGTTGGTGATTGAAAGGCAAGCTATCAACACCCAAGCAGGTCAACGAAAACTAGTCCCTGATCATTGTGTTGGTCTCCTCCTGCAAATCCTGCGCCAATTTGCCGGTGGTTTCCTAGGATCCATATCATAGGTCTCCAAGTTGTGCAGGGCTGTGTCCACAGTTATGAAGGGCAAGCCCTGGGCAGGCTGTCCCCCCAAGCCTCGGCTGGCGCGCCTGCACGCTAGCGCGAGGCATCTCAGTCTCGAACCCCCACGGGGTCTCAAGAAGCGGACGCTCTTTCGGTTGGTTCTCTCGGTGGTTTGCTTTTTGATTCCCCGCACCTTCCCAAAAAGAGCGCCCCTACTTGAGACACACCTGCTTGTGCCCAAGGCTTGAAATGGCGACTTTCAATATGGCTCTTCTCAGAAGAAGACAGACCCCAACGCTCGCGGCTCCTGGCCTTCCAGCAAGCCCAGCGCCTCCGCCGTGTCCTGCGCCATGGCCGCGCCGATGGCCGCCCGCTGCGCAGCGGACATCGCGGCCACGGCGGAACGGCGCTCGCTGCCCATGAGCAGAACCTGCGGAGCTTGACCCAGTCGCGGGTCCATGAACCAACCAAGGAACCTCTCGGACTGGTTTGGATTGGCAGCTTGGGGACTTGAACCCTTTGTGGATGGGAAACGGGAGAAATCACCCCTAAACATCAATTCACAAATCCAAGCCAGAGGGAAGCTGAAACCAAGAAAGCAGAATGGAAGTCAAAGACAGGTTTGGATTGGAAAAACGGTGCCCCTCCTCAACACTACCCTTCAAATGGCGGGCTGAAGGGAAACCACCAGGTCTCAAAAGTGATTTGAGAAACCCAAACACTTCGAGCCGAGTGGCTCTTTGATTTCTCGATCAAACTTAAATCGGGATATGTCAATCCCTCTAAACTCGAAAGTCTGCGGCTCGTGAAGTCCAAGTCAACACATTCGGTTGGCAAAATTACTGGGCCCCGGTCCCTTTGAGCCACCATAGTTCTGAGGTCTGACTATGGACCCAGAGTTCCTCTCACCAAGCGCGTCTTGAAAGCAGGTTTGGGCAGGGCTTCACACCAATATGGAGGTGCAAAGAACCAACAATGTTGAAGAAAAGAAGGCCTGGAAAGGGAAAATGTCGATGAGGGCGACCGCTTCCCCAACAAACGGAGTGCCTCTATCTCCAAAGGTGATGTGTTGATGTTTCCCCGAAAGCCAGCACCCCACCCTCATCGCAGAAGCGAACATGTACGTGAAGGGGAGCCCACCCTCTCATAAACAAACAGGTATCATCAGGTGCCTACCTTCAACTAGAGGGGTTTGCGTCTATTTGTCCATGTCAGTGTAAATGGAAATTGTCATGTCTTGGCTTACTCTCTCACCAAAGAGCGCTTGGTGCAAAGCGCTCTTTACAATAAGGAAAGTAGTCGTCCAAAAGGGGCCTGCTGCACATCCATGACTGGTGCCCTGCGTAGAATCCCTTGAGAAAATGCAATGCGTTTCTCCAGGGGCGTAAGCGGGTTCAAACAAATGGGTTCCCAGCTTGCACCGAAGGACGATCACGCGCGCGCGGCAGCACAAAGAAACCGAACAAGCGGTTGAAAGGCAACGTTAACACCTGATCAGGAAACCCCAAGTTAGTAATGAAGAGGGCGCCCTCCGACGAAAGCAAGCCCTGAAGCCCCGCCAGAACATGACATGGCCACCTGACATCAGAATTCGGGGCACGCCCTAGCCTCCCACAAGCAAGGACCTTATTCAAAAGAAGCGTCTTGCAAACTAAAAAACAAATATATTTTTGGCTTTGCGGGGGGGGGGTTCACCTGGTTATACAACAGCTATCAACTGCCCGAAGTTGAAATACCTGTTGCAAAGGCGCATGGTGCGCAGATGGCTGTGGAACATGGGCCCTTTCTGTTTTTCGGATGGCTGCCATCCCATCTGACAACCCCGTGGTGTTTCTACCGAAAGCGGCAACCTAAAACCAGTCGACAGACCAAGGCCCCCAAAGGCCCCGGGCGCCCCGGCGAGCTGCGCCGCCTGAGGCGCCGGGATCCGCGTCAGCATCTGTGCCGCCTCGCGGGTTTCTGGAGGTCACCCAATTCATTTTGGGCTGGAAAACCGAAAGTCCAAAAAATTGGCAACCCATCGGAAGTGGCTTCCTCAGGTATGAGCTCTGATGGCTTTCTTTTGGTTGCACGTCAGCCTTCACATAGCTAACGCCGTGATTTCCTATTTCAGGCGAGGCAGCCTGCTGGAGTCCCAACGATTCACCAAATGCAAACCACGGCCCAAAGTTGAAAGCCCGAGTTCCACCAGTGTGCATATCCCCAGGGCTTGGCCCGTTGCCTTGTTCACTTTTGAGGCAAAGGAAGTGCGCTTTCGCAGGTTGGGGAAACCTGAGATTGATCCAATTTGGTGGTTTCGGCGCCGTTTTGCTGGTTTTGAAGTTGCAACCCCCCAAGTGTTTGCAAACTTGTTTGGCCACGACGAATGCTGGCAGGTACCACGTTTAGAGGTGGAAACCAAGCCGCACCCCCCCCTTCCATATTGTGCTCACACTTTCTGGTGGAATAGGGTTGCTCCAGCCAGGGTAAGCTGGCCCGGAAAGGAAAACAAGAGGAGCCAATACCAATGGTCGACCCGTGCTTTTTGGTCAGTAAGCTCCAAGCAACCGGCCAAATTCTGCCAAAGGTTGAAACCCCGGATTAACAAACCCCAGGTTGATTTTGATCGGGGGGAGTGTCATTACTCAGGGGTCGTTCGACAAAATCTGAGGCTTAGAGCGCAGGCCAGGGGCACCGCTCGCCTCCTCCGGCGACAAGTGCTCCAGCGTGGAGCGCCGTGCTTCCAGGGCCGCTGCCGCCTCACAACAAAGCCAGAGACCCAGGAGGGGCTACCCCCATTAAGAGGGGGCAAGAAAGGGCCTCCTACGTTGGGCGGCTGATTGTCCTATTTTAAATGAGGTCCAATAGGCGTTCATCATTTTTTTGTTGAAAAACACCACCGTAATTGATCAGCTTGATTCATCCAGCTCAACGACATGGAATTTCTTTAGGTTGGACCCCATGACAATTGGTACAACATGACGACTCCTTCGGGCGCCTTCCGATCTCCACACAGTTGGGACACGCTTGCTCATCGATCTAAGTAGGGCATAGATCATTGGATTGGATGTTTTCCCTGTACAAAGACAGGGGGTACAAAACCCCCCAAAATACCTAGAAAGCACAAGGACAAGCGTCAGGAAACCACAAAAAGCGCATCCAAACGGCTGTACAGAAATGCCGCACGTGATTTTGCGCAAGCAAAGCAACCATCATCCCAAACCATGGTCTGAGCAGGTCTAGAAACTGATGCATAGGCCCCAGCAACCTTTCCCCCTTCAAACACCACTTCCGTCAAAGGGAAATAAACTTACAAATTGCCCAAAAAGTGGCCCACTGATACTCCAATGTATACCCCAAAAATGCTGGCTTCCCCCTTTAGGGCTTGCTCAAGCACCTTTTTGAAGGCCAAGGCTACGAAACTTCGACAACACAAAGGGCACGTCAAGCAAATAAGTGAGATGGATTTCACCTCATGTTCCAACTCTTGCGTGTTTCTTAGTCGGCCGGATGTTAAGATTTCCCTGGTTCTCTGCGGAGAATCCACTCGCATAAGGACCCCAGGATCCAAGCA